CCCCCCCCCCCCCCGATCTTAAAATCCAACTGATTGAGATTTTGAAATCTTTCAAACATTGCTTGACAATCGGAGTCCCTAGGACCCCTGCTGAAACTGAATCAATGCAGATACGTTTGAAGGACCCCCATAGAACAGTTAATCGCCGTACCTACAGGTTGAGCCCCGATGAGCGACAGGTTGTAAGAAATAAGATTGACGAGTTACTGAAGGCCGGCGTAATTCGTCGTAGTTCATCACCGTTTGCTAATCCAATACTTCTTGTAAAAAAGAAAGACGGCACCGACAGAATGTGCGTGGACTACCGCGAATTAAACGACAATACTATACCTGACCGATTTCCCCTGCCGCTCATCTCGAATCAGATTGCTCGGTTGCACGGCGGACACGTTTTCTCGATTTTGGACTTACCTTCAGGTTTTCACCAGATCCCCATAGAGCTAGAGTCGATAGAGAGAACAGCTTTTGTAACGCCTGAGGGCCAGTTCGAATGTCTAACGATGCCCTTTGGACTTCGGAATGCGCCGTCAGTTTTTCAGCGAGCTTATTGACTTATTAACTTATTCATGCTCTTGGCAATCTTGTGAACACCTACGTTATGGTGTATATGGACGATGTACTCATCGTCGCAAATATCGCGGAGGAGGCATTGGAAAGACAGCAGGTAGTACTCAACCTTCTCGCTGAAAAGGGGTTCTCGCTAAACCATAAAAAGTGTGCGTTCCTAAAGCAAAAGGTAGAGTACCTAGGATTCGAAGTAAGCCAAGGGCGAATTCGCCCAAACACTCGCAAGGTAGAGTCTTTGACTGCTCTACCACCACCTAGGACGACAACGCAGCTGCGTCAGTTCATCGGGTTGGTCTCATATTTTCGTCAGTTCGTGCCAAAGTTCTCGCAGATTATGGCTCCCTTGTATGGGTTGATCTCCGGCAATAAGATAGACTGGAAACCGAAACTGGAAGTAGTCAGACAGCAGATCATTTCTATTCTCACTAGCGAACCAGTGCTCACAATTTATGACCCGGCTCTTAAAACGGAACTGCATACTGATGCGAGCTCTATTGGGTACGGCGGAGTGCTGATTCAAGTCAAGGAAGGTAAGTTTCATGCCGTTGCGTATTTCAGCAAACGCACGACAGCCGCAGAGTCTATATACCACTCTTACGAGTTAGAGACTCTCGCCGTTGTTAACGCCGTAAAGCACTTTCGGCATTTCTTACACGGGCGCAAATTTGTCGTGGTAACAGACTGCAGTTCTCTTCAATCTACCCGAAGGAAATTAGATCTGACGCCGCGAGTACATAGGTGGTGGGCGTTCCTGCAAGGATTTGATTTCGATATAGTGCACCGAAGCGGTAAGCGAATGCCAGATGCCGACTTATTTTCTAGGAATCCCTTACCTGCTG